AAGTTCAAGGTCGCTCAACGAGCAATAGAATAGAATAGAATAGAATAGAATATTTTTTATTCAATATACATTACATGTGTAATTCTTATTGAAAGTCGTTTTTTACTTTACCAATGGTTCGAAAAAACCCTCTGTCCTGGGAAGAACCAGCAAGAAACCCAAATTGAGAGGGCTATGCTTGGGGTTTCTCTGCGTGGTAAACTTAGAATTGAGGATATCCGCAGTAGAACAAGAGTAACCAACATAGGGCAATTGATTAGTAAGCTGAAGTGGCAGTGGGCCGGCCATATATTTTTTTTTTTTTTTTTTTTTTTATTGGAGAGGGGGCAAACGAGCATGCGGCTCACCTGATGGTAAGTGACTACCGCCGCCCATGAACAACCGCAACACCAGGGGAATTGCAGATGCGTTGCCGGCCTTTTAAAAAGGAGTAGGCTCTTTTCTTGAAGGTCCCTAAGTCGTATCGGTCCGGAAAAATCCCTGGTGGTAAACTATTCCACAAGGAAGTTGTGCGAGGAAGAAAACATCTTCTAAATCGCACAGTGGTGGACCGCCAATCATCCAGATGGTGTGGATGGTATCGGGAGTTCTGCCGCGATGTGCGTTCGTGAAATCTGGCGGCTGGGATTAATCCGAACAATTCCTCAGAGCACTCCCCATGGTAAATGCGAAAGAAAATGCAAAGAGATGCAACATCTCTTCGCAGTGCCAATGAATCGAGCCGATCGGAAAGGGCTCGGTCGTCGACGATTCGAGCCGCTCTGCGCTGGATGCGGTCAAGTGGAAGGAGCTGGCACTGGGGAGCCCCTGCCCAGAGATGGGAACAGTATTCCATGTGAGGCCGAACCTGCGCCTTGTAAAGTTGCAGGCGGTGTGCCGGCATGAAATACTGTCCCGCTCTGCTGAGCACGCCAAGCTTTTTAGAGGCCAATTTGGCCTTCTCTTCCAAGTGACCACGAAACTGCACGTCACTCGATATGTCGACTCCGAGGATACCGATACTGGCTGAGGCAAGAAGGGGAGTGCCTTGAAACTGAGGAGATACGACAAAGGGGTTCTTTTTAGCGGTAAACGCGCAAACTTGTGTCTTCTGAGGATTAAACTGGACTAGATTTAGTCGCCCCCAATCCGAGACTTTGTCCAGCAAAGACTCGACTTCAGACACAAGTTTGTTCCGGTACTCGGCGACGTTTTCCCGAGAAATATTGGCCCGGCCGGTGTATAGAGCATCACCAGTGCTGTCATCCGCATAGCAATGAATGTTACCAGTTAGCAACATATCATTGATATGCAGAAGAAACAGCGTTGGTGATAGCACACAGCCTTGTGGAACACCAGCGTTAATAGGCTTGTAGTCAGAACATGCACCGTCTACAACAACCTTGATGCTCCGATCTGCAAGAAAGCTGGTGATCCAATTGCACAATTTCTCGGGAAGCCCATAGGAAGGCAGCTTCGAAAGAAGCGCTTTGTGCCAAACCCGATCAAAGGCCTTCGCAATGTCCAGACTAACAGCCAACGCCTCCCCCTTGGACTCTACTGCCTCCGCCCATCTATGGGTCAGGTAGACCAGAAGATCACCAGCTGATCGACACCGACGAAAACCGTATTGGCGGTCACTAATCAGCTGGTGATCCTCAAGGTACCGGATGAGCTGGCAGTTAATAATGGATTCCATTATTTTGGAGAACAAGGAGGTGATCGCGATAGGCCTATAGTTGGACGGGTCTGAGCGGTCGCCTTTTTTAGGGATCGGGTGGACAAAAGCTGTCTTCCATGAATTCGGGACTACGCCATGGGAGTAGGAGTACCGGAAAAGACGCGTTAGGACCGGTGCCAACTCCGGAGCACACGTCCTCAGCACAATTGGGGGGATTCCGTCAGGCCCACTCGACTTCTGGATGTCCAGGGAGAGAAGTGCTCTGCGAACCGAGCGCTGTGAGAATCGCACATCCGGCATGTAGCACTCACACCGCGGGATGGTCGGCGGTGTGTTCCCCCCGTCATCAACAGTCGAGTTGGACGCAAAAAGGGAGCCTAAAAGGTCGGCCTTCTCTTTTGCGTCGTGGGCCAGTGAGTCGTCCTCCCTGTGCAGAGATGGTAGTGATGGCTTACAGAAATTCCCTTGGACAGCCTTGGCGAGAGACCAGAATGCACGGGTTCCCGAAGGAAGGCGAACTAGTTTCTCGCCAATTCTGCCTATGTGCTCTGACTTTGCCTTGGCAATAACTCTTTTGAAGGACCTGGAGGCGAAGTTATACTTCTTTTTGAGTGTGCTGGTGTTTACATCGCGAGTCACCGAAGCCGCAGCCCAGGCTTGATAACACTCCTGCTTACTGCGCAATGCAGGCTTACAGGAGCGACCAAACCAAGGCTGAGATCTGCCTCCGATGGGTACCACAGATGATGGAATAAATAGTTCCATTCCCTGTAGCACCACATCAGTGACAGAGTCAGCAACAGCACTGGGATCATCCGGCGAGAAGCAAACCCGCCCCCATGGGTAGGATGCAAAGAAAGACCGCATTCCGTCCCAATCCGCCGACCTGTAATGCCAAACACGGCGGCAACCTGCAGAACGCAACCGCGAAGGGAGCGTGAGTGGCACCACACTCCGGATCAGACAATGGTCCGAAGAGCCGAGAGGGGCATCGACGGAAACCTGATATCCGTCCGGATGAGAGGTCAGCAGAAGATCCAACAGGGAAGGTGTATGATCCTCCACATCTGGAATCCGCGTAGGCGAAGTAACCAGTTGTGTCAGACCATATGCCAAGGCAAAGTCATAAACAGATCTCCCCGCATGATCGGTTAAACGTGAACCGAGCCATTCGGCATGGTGGGCGTTAAAATCGCCAAGGATCACGATCTCTGCGGATGGGACCTGTTGTAGCAAGGAATCTGTAGCCATTTGGACGTGGTCGATGAGTCGGTCTGTTTCGGCATTACCGCTATGGGACCTATAGAGACACCCGTAGACGCGCGGATGGTCGTCGCTGTCTACGCGTAGCCAAAGGATGGACAGGTCCGAACCTTCAAGACTGCCGAGGCGTCGAGAACAGATGTCCTCTCTAACATACACGCAAACTCCAGCCCGAGGCACAAAGGAGTGCTCCAATTTGTACCCCGGGCAGGAGAGATACGAAATATCAGTCGGAGAGGAAACCTGCGTCTCGGTCAAAAAGAGCAAGGCCGGCTTCGCCGTCTCGAGATGGTAGTGGACGGCGTTTAGGTTAGAGTGAAGTCCCCTGATGTTGCAGAAATTCACGGATAGCGTGGCAGGGGTCGCCTTGGTATTGTTGCTCAGCTTGCCCCGAGCAGTTTTGTTTTTGAGCGGAATTTTGCCCCCCCCAGAATACGCGGGGCAGCCTGAGCACCCACGCTCAGGATTGGAATAACATGGTCGTGGATGCTCAGCGAGGGATTCTCCAGGGGTACTGGTACCCTCCTGGGGTAGTCTATTGTCTAATTCCGCTACCATGTTGATGGGGGGGGGGGGAGAATTGGGCCTCCGGCCACCTGCACTCACCAGACGAAACGCAGAAGCAGAGCCTCTACTTCACGCCGGTATTCTGTGAGGTCGTGGTACCAACCCGGCTCGAGCCGGCCCATACGTGCAACAGCAAAAAACTGCTGCAGGGCTCTACCACCGTTAGATATATCTCGAAGAACCGACAACCGATCGGGAAGAAAGGTTCTCGAGAGGCAGCCTCGTACCGGTAGGCGAATTGTAGGGCGACCCCCCCCCCCCCCCCCCCCCCACTAGATGGAGTGATGACCTGGTAAGACATGCAGGAAGTCGATGGATGCAGGTGGCTCAAGACCGTGCTTTGTGACATTCCTTGGGGGAGGCCTATGTTCAGCAGTAGACCTGTGAAAGGCTGTTAGTTTTTTTTATCAAGAAACTTTATTTATGGAAGTACTATTTATGGTTGGCAAGGAAAAAATTGTGGCTCTTTAAAAACTTTGAAATTTTGTAAATTGTAATTTTTGGCTCTTCCGACTCAAAATGTTGCCAACCCCTGGCCTAGAGCGATTGACCAATCTCGGTTGTTTAGCAGGTAGTTCTGCCTTCATGGTTTGCAGTTGCTGACAATAGATATCTGCCAAACCAAACACCAAACATTCACAAGTAACTTTTTCTGAGTCAATTTTCGTTTAGGGCAGCATTTGGCTTGGTCTCCAGGGTTCAGCCATTGCGACGAGCGCTTCCAATTATCGTACAGTATCCACTTTTCATCAGAAGTAATGATTCGATTTAAAATCCCTTCATTATTGTGTCGGTTGAGCAAAGTAACACAGCAGTAGACGCGTGTTTGCAAGTTCGATTCACTCAATTCATGAGGTACCCATCGTTCAAGTTTTTTTACTTTCCCGATTTGCTTCAAGTGGATTAATACAGTTTTATCACTTACCCCGAAGCCTGCAGCTATCTCTGAAGTGCTTTGTGATGGATCCGCTTCCACAATAGCCTTTAATTCTTCATTTTCCAGTTTGGTCTCCGGCGGCGGTAACACCATGAGGTTTTAGTCGGTGTGAGTCCGCATAACCCATCATTGTCCAAAAAAAGTTAAACGGTTCGACGATCGTGTATTGCTAGCATTACACATAATATTTATCTTACCGCAGAGTAATGCCTGAATTATTAATAGTTTTTATCGCAAGCAATACCGACTTTGACATGTCTCAAAATTTAAAAATAAATAAATATGACAATTTGTTATAAATCTTTTACGCTTCACATTAATTTTTAATATTATATCAATGATTCATTTTATAGATAATGTACGCGATGAACTTTTAAAAGAATTTGTCGATATTCTTGATATTATATCATTACGAAGTCTTAATCTTTATGATCAAATAACTGAGAACTTGACGCTAGTTTTAAGGTCGCAGTTGAGGAAACCTAGATGTGGTGATAAATTTCTAGTATGATATAATTTACATATTTTCTGAATTTTACCTATTATATTATTTAAATTTTATGTAAAAACAAGATGGAGAATGCTAAAATCCATGAGACAACTGCAGTTATTGAAAATGATAAACACATAGCTGAAGTAAATAGCAAGACATACCATGAGGATGAAATTTATCTTGATAAATTAAGTGAAAATACGAAGGAGAAAGAAAATGACGTAACAAATGAGGTAGACTTTGTAGGGTTAGAAGAAGAATATAAAAATATTTCAGAAAATCAAGAAAAGTTGTCCCAAAAAGATGGCTCAGAATCGGTAAAAACCTTAATTGATAAACAAGAAGTAATTGACACAAATACAGAAGAAGTATTAATAGGAGGAGAAGACGAAATAATTGAAGTAAAACTTAGTCAAGACGCAGTAGGAGAACAACAAGATGCAGTCGAAGAGGAAGAAAATGTATTCGAAGAAGAACCTCCACCAGATCCTAGTGCTCCATTAAATCTTAGAGATTCAACAGAAGCTCTTAAAGAGTCTTTCAACCTCCGACCTGATCAGTTGGCTGAAGTAGAACAGCTTTGGGATTTGTTTCAGGATTATACTCCAGTCTACACAGATTTAGACAATTTTATAACTGAAAAGGAATTAGTCTACATGCTCAAATCTCTACTTCTTATGACTTATACCTCAGAGCAACTGGAAGAATTAATAGATTTTTGCGTGAGACCCTCCCATTCAGAAGGTCACATCACATATGAACAATTTTTAAAGATGGTAACAATTAGACAAAGAGATTTACCTATAGAAGAAGAATTAAGATCCGCATTGCAAGCAATGGATCCCGACAAAACTGGTGTAATAGACAGAGAGTTTTTTAAAGAAGTACTATCAAAGCAAGGCAATAAAATGTCCCCAAAATTATTGGATAAACTTATTAAAGAAGTCGACATTAGCAATGATGGTACGATTAGTATCGAAGATGTAGTTGGGACTATGAGTATTGATTTAAATAAGGATGATATTTTATTACTTTTAGCATCATTACAACCTGAATCTAATGAAAAAAATGAAGAAGACATATTTTGAGTGTGGCACGATGTGAATAAACTCTAAGCGCTTTTAAAGATTTTTGACGTTAATCTGTACATTAATTAAATTTGTTTGCATTATTTCTGTTTTTTAATCGTTTTGACTTAATATCCATATACCATATAAACATCACATATTTCCTGATTTTACGTTTACATAATATTTTTTAAACGAATTTTCAAAGCGAAACTCAATGTTCCTATAAAACAACTAGTTTATATGTAAACTTGTTTTATAGGTAGAGAAGCAGCGTTGAATACTTTCTTCCGTCACCTGACTCTCCGGCTACAGATTGGGATATCAGCCGGCATTTCCCTCACCCACACCTTACTCTCCTTCCGCGACAACGCCTGCTTTCAGAAAATAACATCGACACTATATGACTTCAAGTATTCGACCATGATTTTATCAAGGCCTCTTTTTACAGCACGACGGATTCTCCCGAGTCTGTTGAGTGTAGATCATGGGTCCAGAAGAAACGTACACCATAAAGCACTCATTGGTGCCAGCGATCGAACCCGAGTTGCTCGCTTTGTTAGTTGCAATTTTAAGTGCTGATTTACCACGTGCTCGGCGGTGAAGAAAAGCATCGTGAGGAAATCGTCAAAGAAATAAGAAAATTAAATCCAAAAACATGTGAAGTTTGCTAACACACATTGGGGAAGCGTGGCGGACATTTCCTTGCCTTGAAACCCTCTCAGAAATGAGAGGAGGCCTGTGCCCAACAGTGGGACGTAAATAGGATGTAACTTTAAAGCACCCATCTTCCCGGCATAATGGCTTTGCCGACGACCACTTTTCGGCCGCGGAGGGTAGGTAGACCGATGCATCGTAATACCGTCACTCGCCTCCCGCTTCTTGACCACCATTATATTAATGACAGGATGATGGGGTAGGTGATGTTCTCCAAACTGAATTTCGGTCACAGGGGCCAGTCTCAACACGGATACTAGCCATCTGCTCAGGACATGATTATAGTGACCGAATGTATGCCCAAGCACACAGTCATCCGACACGACCGGAGAGAGTTCAGGCGCAAGAACAACGGCTTTACGTGCTCACCGAGGTACGAAGGTGAAATACCACTGAAATTTTTTGAACTTTTTGACTCTAATTTTTGTCCGACCCGAGATTCGAACGCACTTGGTCTCATGATCCGAAACGCGTTTACTACTACTAGACCAACAAGGCAGTAAAGAAGATAATAACCATTTATAGTGCTGAACAACGTAATAATAATATAATCACTTCTTATTAGTTTTCTTATTAGTTTTAGTTAGAAGGAGGAATTTTTTTTATACACGCTAATCTCTAGAACTACCAGTCCGATTTGAAAAATTATTTTTTTATATTATAGCCAGATTCATGAAGAATAATATAGATTGTTGTTTATGTCCAAATTTGGTCATGTTTACCGCCAACCAATTGCGTTCAAGCTGGCGCCTCACCCGATGGTATGTAGGTGAGATAAGCGCCGAGGTGGGGCGACCGAGCTCGACGCGTGGGCAGTCGCTCGACGCGTAGGCAAAACGTCGGTGCCCCGCCAGACACGATGCAGGGAGCCCGTGCGGCTCTCTTAGCGAAATTCAAGACCCGTCGTGGATCTAGATAGCTAGATGAAGTACGTGCTTCTTCGTCACGTAGATATGTGAATTGTGCGATATTTAACTCGGGCAAGAGTGCGGAATAGTGTACGCGCGCCTAGTAGATATACGGTATAGGATTCGAGCCGCGCATTCCTAGTTGAGAACTTCTCCCTGTTAATTGTCAAGATATCATTATAATTGTGTCGGCGCGTTTAGTGCCCCTTTTGTGTTTTGGTTGCCTAGTTAGATTAATTTGTGTGTCAATGAGGCGTATTTTGACTCTGGCGCGACGTGTTATTCTGGTGCCGAATTTATAATTTGTGATAAGGGAATCCGGGACATTCAATGTCGATTTTTGTGCTACTGTCCTGACCGTGTCGGATATCACGTGTTCGATTCTGTGATGAGTGTGGAATTAGGCGAATTGAAGTTAGTTAAATGTACGATGAAGCTGAGAGACTGAGTAGTGACAGTGAAGAAAGAAATGGTCCGGCGCTGAAGCCTGCTGGAGCGATGCAGCATTTTGGGGCAGCCTGGAACTCGGCCGCTGCTGCTCGCCTAAGCTTGCTCAGGTCGCAGACATTTACACCTCACTGTACACTACTCGCCATCCACTATTACACACACTCACGGCCTGCCCAAGCCTTGGTGCGAAGTTAGCTTCGGAGAATGGTAAGTACTATGTGTTTCTAGCTTTTTCCCATATAGTTTATTGTGATAGGAAATTCCACGCGGCCATATTGAGGCCCGACCTACGTCTGTTCGTTGAAACTCCGCTGATGGGCCCCGGAGGATTGAACTTTGTGGGAGCAGCCGTAACAATTATCAAGCATTAGCGTAATGCTTGATAATTGCTTGATAAAGCTTACACCTCTCAGCTAGCCTTAAATATTGTTAAGCAAGTTGGAAGTAAAAACGCTCAAGAACTGCTTTATCCGCGTGCGCTGACTTAATGGTTAGTGATATGTGAATACAATATTCTACAAAAATATAGATCTTTACTCTATGTAAAAAAAAAGTCTACAACACGATGGGCTTATTTCTTATGCACAAGCCACAATAAGGTATTATGTGACAAAAAATATGGAAATTAAAGAGTAATTTATGAGCGTTATTATTAGGCATGACATATTAATCGTTACGAACGAAAGTTACTTCATCATTAAGACAATTTTATGAAGATAAATTTTGCTCTTTTTAGCATGTTATTTAGATGAACAGTTTAAGAGATAATGTAAAATTACAATAATTCCACACTCAGTGCGCAAGCGATGCCGATGGAAATCGAGAGAAACCAGCAAACGTGCGGCTCAGACGCGTGAAACCGCGGGGCACAACTAGTACAATATAAAGTGTTTCCTATAATCTCAGTCTCCTCTGTGTGTGGTGCTTCAAAGATGGTTAATATGACTTTTAACTAAAAAATAAATAAAAAGATGCAAATTTATCTAATAAATAATATTAATTATTTATTGAATAAAATTATCACATCCAAACAATCCTTAACAATCCACGATTTTATATCATACAGATTTACGGACCACTTTCACAATCTAACAATTTTGGTTCGATAAAATGAGCTTAACTGTAGAATGAGGTGGACGTCGCTATTACAAAGCAATTTTAGTCGAAATAAACCTAGCAAGCTAACAGCATAGCAAAGTGGCGAAGCAATCAGCTTTGTAGCGGTTTCTAACGGTTGCCGTTGAGCAATCAGTTTCAAAATAGGAGGGTCAGATGCCTGGGTGATCAGTAATCGATTGCTGAAAACAGAATTCGAAAATTCGAAACCGTTCTCGAGATAATCGTGGGACAGACGGACAGACGGACAGACGGATAGACATCGTGAAATCAATAAGTGACTTCGCAAGCTTCAGCACTTAATAAGATATTATTTTGTAATTTAACTAATCGAAAATTTTGGCTCTACATGTCTAAAAATAAGGATTGTAACATTTATTTGGTTATAAAATTAAACTTTTATGTTATATTTTATGCCGCACTATATTTCATTTCATTTGAAGATTTACTTCTATTGCGTGTAAACTACACATGCTTTTTTTGGTTAGTTATATACTGTTTAAAATATAGAATATTTTCAATTGTTTTATTCTAAGTCTATGCCACGATACATAGATATAGTACATATGCATTAGATTGGCGATCACAGAACACTATTTCTCCTAGCGGAGTGTTGGCGATGGATTGATTAAGGTGAGACCAAAAACGAAATGTACCGGTGTGAGTAAATAGTGAATAGTGCTACGCCATGTATCAACTTCAATTATCAATACAGAGCGCTGTGTCCGTGTTATAAAATTAATATTTTTATGTTTGGACACAAAAATTAAACTACAAAAAAAGTTTGTGATTTTTATTTTCCACCAAAAATAATCAAATTATTGTAAAAATGTCGTAAGCTCTCCTTAGAGAGGTATTTTTAAATTTTGCTTCATAATTCAATCTAATAATCAAATAAGTTTCGATTATTAATTTAATAATTAAGTGTTTATGGTTTGATATTGCTGGCAAATTATACATATTATGTCAATATGTTAAAAAAACAACAGCCAACAGATGATCAACAATACTAACAAAAATATAACTCAACACTGCGACTACATGCTATGTGTTCATCTTCTTACAGGTAACCACAACTTACATAAAGTGATTTTTTTAAAAGAAAAAAAAAGAAGCAGACAATTATATGTTAATAAATATACATGAAAAATCAGATTTGATATAGCGACAGTTTGTGGATTTAATGCTTGTAGTTGTAGAGCCACGCGGCAGCTTCTGCTGTCACACGAATGGGCCGGCTCGAACGGGGGTGGTACCACGACCTCACAGAATACCAGCGTGAAGTAGAGGTTTACCTCTGCGTTCCGCTTGGTGAGTGCAGGTGGCTGGAGACCCAATTCCCCCCCACCCCCACCCCATCAACATGGTAGCGGAATTGAACAGAAAACTAACCCAGGAGGGTACCAGCACTCCTGGAGAATCCCTCGCTGAGCATCCACGACCAAACTACTCCACTCCTGGGCGTGGGTGCTCAGCTGCCCCGCGTATTCTGGGGGGCGAAATTCCGCTCAAGACGAAACCTGCTCGGGGCAAGCGGAGCAAAAAGACAAAGGCAACCCCTGTCACGCTATCCGTGGATTTCTGCGATATCAGGGGACTTCATTCAAACCTTAACGCCGTCCACTACCATCTGGAGATAACTAAGCCAGCCTTGCTCTTTCTAACTGAGACACATGTGTCCTCTCCGGCTGATACTTCGTATCTCTCCTGCCTGTACAAATTAAATAGAACACTCGTTTGTGCCCCGCGCTGGAGTTTGCATGTACGTCAGAGAGGACATCTGTTTTCGAAGCCTCGGCAGTCTTGAAGGTAAGGACCTGTCCATCCTAT